TATGGGTGACATCACTTCAAATCAGGTCTTTAGCCTCTCTGGAAACATATGACCTGTTAAAAGGACGCCTTCCTCCAGAAGGTGCAGTTCAGCAAAACAATGAAAACAACATTGAGAGAAGGCCTAAGAATTCTTACATCCAAGTTAAAATTATCTCAGAAGTTATTCAACCAGAGGTAGCATAAGGTAAAATATAAAGTGCACAGGTTTCATTTCATTTATATACTGAATATGCACCTGAAAAGTTGCATATAAATTGCATTTATTATGTAATGTTAAGCATTTATTTAAAACAGTGTTTCCCTATTTAACTCAATCATAAAGTGTACCTGGGACATTTTTCAAATGCAGATTCCCTGGGCCCTCTTCGAGAGAATCTGATTCAACACCTCGGGTTGGGGCCCAGGGATTTGTAGTTTTACCAAGTGCCTCAGGTGGTATTTTATAGATATTTTAAACTCAGATGAGTTTGGGAAGTAATGATTTAAAGGATTCCTAAGGCGATTCCTATCATTAAGCATATATATCATCTTCAGCTTTGCTTTTATTAACTTAGATTTTTGTGGTGTTGTCTAGCATTTTCTTCTTTTTCAGGTAGGTTACCTTTGTCTATATGCCAGTTTACTTCGCTAAAGATGGGAAACTAACCAAAGCACACTCTTTGCAGTGATTCTCATTCAGACACAGTTGGCAAGTCCAAGTTTTCTGATGGATACAGTGTGCAGTAATTGAACAAGAGCAAGAGGAAGGCAGGAAAGGCAAGTTTTCTCTTGCATGAGGCTAATATTAAGGAATGGAGATAGTTGTTGGTAGGTAGGTGGTAGGTTGAACTAAAAGTTTTAGGAAGGTGGGAGTGTCACAGCAAACACTATTTGTACTTTGCCCCTCTTCTTTGGTTCTAATTCCCAGGGGCCCTCTGGTATGTGTACATTTCTTCATCTCTGAATTAAGGAGTGTGTAAGACTTAATCCATTGTACGGAGAACACTGGACCCTAAGCATTAAACTGGTGATACTCAGGTATCACCCAATAGGACTGATGGTGTTCATTGGTTATTTATTTACTCACTGGGTGTTACTACCTCTTGATTGCCAGGACCATTTACAAGCATAATTTTGTCTGGTTTAGAGTATGCCAATGTCTGGATTAATAAGTAGAGAACCGATTGTGTTCATTTAGTTGATAGCGCCATTATCTCTACCACTGATTCACCCACATTGGGTTCCTTTCTGGTCCTAGAGCATGCTAAGCACACTCTCACCTCAGGGCCCTTGCACTTGCTCTTCCATCTGCCTGTAACACTCTTACCCCAGGTCTCCTCACTTCCTTCAGGTCTCCGCTCAAAGATCATCTCATTAGAGAAGCTGTACCTGACCACTATATATAAAATAGCTCCCCATTACTCTCAATCCCTTTCGTCTGCCTTGCTTTCCTTCATAGCACTTATCATCATCTAATTTATTATCTATTTACTACTTGATTGATTTGCTGTCTGTTTCCCCTCACACACACCACTAGAACGTAAGCACCATGAGAGCAGGGACTGAATTCTACATACTAGTGAATCTCAATGCTAGGATCCATGCCCAGTATACAGTGGCATCCAAGACATGTTTACTGGAAAAAACAAATGGGTATTTGTATTGGTTTGAGAAAGATGTGACAAATGTTTGACATCTGTGGTCTTAAAAGCTATTTTATACACCCAAATGGAAACAAACATATGCATTTATAAAACTAAAGAGTAGAGAATTTAATTAAAATGTATAGCCATCCCATTACTTGAAAAGTTATCCTCAGGAGATACCTATAACTTTGGGCATTTTCTGAATAATAGCAGGACTCCTTAAGATAAAACATAAAATGACTAACAGTAATTATCCTAGGCAAAAACGGGGTGGGTAGGGAGAAATGGGAATTTATCATGACCTGTATTGTGTTTTTTAAAAACTTTTTCGTAACTATTGTATTTTTTGTAAGTTTTAGGCACTTACCAGGTATTGCATTAATTTAGGTTATATCAATTCATGTCCACTACAGCATAAGCCCCTTGAGAACATGGCCCATTTTATACATCTTTGTATGCTCCCATAATGCCTATCTCAATGTATTGCAAATAGAAGGTAATCTGAAAATATATTTACCAAATGAAAAATACCTGAGTATCAAAATCAAATATTACATATATATTAATATATATTCTCTGAGCATATTTTATACATTCTGGCAGTAAAATAAGAGTTTTTAAATCTGTCATTGCCTTACTTATACACATGCTGGTTGACAAAGATCGGAAGTCTTCATAAAATTTAAGATGGGGGAGTAGAGAATTTTTAAATATGTACAAAGACAAAATGTCCTAAAAATATTTTGTTGTAATTAGCGACAGCATCAACATTGCAGAACATAAAAAGCAGAATGTTTCAATCTGAAAAGTCCACACCATAAAAAAAAAATGATGCTACTTCAGTCCAGACTTGCTAACTGGAAATATCTTTCTATGCTATCCAAAAGATTACCTAAATCTCAATGGGATTATGGACGAATATTCCGTGTGTATTCTTTTAGTGTATTTCCAGAGAATACAGCCAAGCCTCCCTGGTGGATTCACCATGAAGATGATGAAGCTCCAGCAGCTGCAGGGGCCTCTCACTTGCTCCGGTGAGGAAGCCTCAGCAATGTGCTCAGGTTATCTCTTTTGTAGGAGTCTCCACCCATCTGACACACACAGTTGCATAAACTTCAGGCCCACCCCTGCCAGGCCTTCATTAGAATACTACCATTAAGAAAACTAGGCTAGCATTTGCAAAAATGATCTAAAAGTCATGTGTTGACTTACAGCATTTCTCAACAGTCCAAATAGAGAGAGGCTAATGGGTTCGATTATGTGTATCTTTGCAGTATGGTTACTATTACTTTTCCCAGGATACAAAAGTTAGTCTTGGAAATCATGACTAGATGAAAGCAACTTTCATAATAGTAAGCATACTATTATACATACATAATCCCAATAGTTATTACCCAAAAAAACTAGGTAATGCTTTGTAGTCAAACCAGATTGCTAGTGCTCGGTACTTATCTTCAATAGTAAATACATTATCCTTATTGCTGCTAAATATAAGTGGTTAAAATAAAAACCGATTCATTCTGAATTCGAGTCATGTACCACAACAGTAAGGAGTTAAACTAAAAGTTAATTGAGTGTGGTTAATTAAACTAAATATGCAACCATTTTTGACGCGAAGGTCAAAACAAACCAAAAAACCTGCTGTAATCTCAGCATTGGCTATTGAAGTTTTCAAACTCAAGTAGTGATTCCTTAAAAACTACAGAGCGATCTGGGGGGTAGAGGGGCGGTGGGTATTTTTATGCACTCATACACTGTCCTGGTCCTACCCCTACCTCTAACCACCTCCTGTATTTTTAACTTTAGTTCTTCCCCTGTGGTATGTAGTACTCAGTTAATTCTTCACTGGTGGCTAAAGTGGTACAAATATCTGGTAGGTTTTTGTTTTTTGTTTTAAGTATGCCAGCATGTGTTCTTATATTCGCCCACGCTAGCACAGGCTTTACTTTGATGGTCCTTCCCCTCCACCCCTGAACAGGTCCGCAGGGCCTTCCCACTCAACTTGGGACTGGTCCCCGGCCACTTCCTCAGCGTCTTGGCCCCGGCGGAGACACCTTCAGAAAAATCTCCTTGGGATGGCCACAACACCAGGGTAAAGTTACCAGGGAAAGCAAAAAGGTGGCCCCTGCGCACTTCCTACAAGACGCAGCCAGTTCCCAGCCCGGGACGCGCCCGAGAGGCGAGGGAAGGGAGTGTCGCCACCGAATCCCAGGAAAGGCCGCGGGACCCACCTCCGGCTCCCTCCCGCCCCCGCCCTCGGCCCCACCTCCCCCGGCTCGCACAAAGCCGTCCCGAAGGCGGGGGCCGGGCCCGCAGGGAGGCCGCGACTGGCGACTGGACCCGGCCGGCGACCTGCGACTCTGGCCGCGCAGGCTGCCCTCCCCGGCGAGTCTACGGTTCCCGCCGCCCAACCAGCCCCCACCCCCGCCTTTACATCGAGAGCCCCTCGAGAAGACTCGGCGCGACCCACACAGTCCCGCCTGCCACGTCCGAGGTGGCGGCCCCCAGCGGGGAGCGCTGGGCCCGCCCGGCCTCGAAGGGGCGAGCACACGCCGTGGGGCGCGCGCGAATTGCTCGGTCGCGGGCACCCCTTTGCGCCCCGCCACGGGGCTGACTCGGGGCCTCAAATCACTTCCCCCCATTTTCGAAAGGCCCTTTCCCTGGACACCTGCCCGAGGTGGCCAAACAATGCGGGGGCGGGCCTGGGGGCAGGGAGGCTGAGGCGGGCTGGTGGGGGCAGTGGGGCGACGGCGCCCGCGGCCCCCACGACCGCGGCGGCCCCCGAGCCCCACCGCGCGTCGCCTCCCGTCGGGGGCGCACACGCGGGCGCCACACACGCGCGCCCTCCTGCCCGGTGCGGGAAGATGGCCGTTTCTGCTTCGGTATAAAAGCTCTTTGTTGCGCTCACACAAAAGCGGCCAAGACCCGCTTTTCCAGCAGGCCCCATGGACAAATCGAGGGAACTCGGCTGGACTTCCAAGTGGCCCTAGAAGCCTGAAGCGCTGGGAGCAGCTAAAGGAGGGGGAACAACAGGCCTCCCGCGCCCATCTACCGACGCCTGTCAGTATCCAAGTATTCGTCCGGGGAGCGGGGGCTGAGGCCATTCGTCAGGGAGGAAGGAAAGAGGAAAACCTACTTTTACTATCAAGGCCCAAAGGGGACATTAAACATTCACATTCTTGTAGGGTTTCTCCCATTAATCAGGGTAGAAACATAATCCGGAAAAGTCTGGATCCACCAAAAAGAAAAAGAAAAAAGAAAGAAAAAAATACCAACAATAGCAACTTAAAAAAACAAAAACAAAAACATAACAAACCAGTTGCCATCAGCCCAAAGTGGTAGTAGCAGCAGCCGGCGCGTGTGATCCACTTACTTGTCCGACTCTTGTGACATGTTTGATCCAATGAACTCGCTCCCCTTTTCCTGGAGCCTCAGCCTCTGGTGAAACTGGACTTTCAAGTCTGTGCAGGTGAAGGTGTGTGAGAGCGCCCGAGATGGCAGAACAAGAGCTACAGGTAATTCTGCTTTTCCGTCCCCCCTCACCACTCTCGCTCGCTCGCCCGCTCGCGCCCTCACCTAGCCGGAAAGGTGGGATAAGGGAGGGCCCCTCACATGGGGCCCGAGCTCGGAGGCGGCCGGGCGGCGCGGAGTCCTCCTGGATCGTGGCAATGGGCAGACACAGAGCAGAAAGTGGCGGACTTGGGCGGCCACAGGTAACTTTCTCGCCAGGAGCTGAATTCTTTCACTAAAGGGTACAAGCCCGAGGGACGAGCTGCGCGGTGATTGGCTGCGGAGCTCCCTCAGGTGAGCTGCCATTGGCAGAGACGCGCTCAGGTAAGGCCCTTCTCCAAGTGCAGGTAACTCACTCCGAAGTTTACCTGAGTGGAGCGGCGGCATGCGTGCAGCTCTGCGGCAGCCTGTGGGAGCTGAGGGTCAGTTCTTCGAGTAGACTTCAAGCTACGTTTTCCTCCTTCCCTGAGGCCGGGGTGGGTGAGGGACTGAAGGAAGCGAAGGAAGAGGGGAGGGACGGTGGTGGCATGGGGGCCGCGAATGCAACACCTGCAAACACTAGGGATTGTGGGTCGAACGGAAGGACGAAGGAGAGCTGAACTCAGGTATCCCAAGCCAACCGGAATGACATGCGCAGCACACCAGAAGGCATTTAATGCCCTCATTAAGAGGACTAAAGTTTGACGGTGGCACAAGAGTACCGGACTAAAGTTACTTTGTGCTGAGAGGGGAAAAGAAACACAAAGATTGTCTGGTCTGCTGCGTAACTGAATTTCTAACATTCTTAGCCACAACAAACACTTTTCGTGTCCTGGTGTGTAAAAGATAACCAGGTAGAGTATAGATTTTCAAATAGGTGAGCATCCCTTCATGAGCTGGGCCGGTGGGGAGTGGTTTTGATGGAGTGAAGAAATTGTGTTGACTCTAAGATGGCCCAGGCGCACCTCTTGGATCTTAACTCTGCAGCCTAGGATTCCAGAGCTGAAACAGCCACTGAATTCGTTCCATAAACCTGTTGTCATTTGACGTTTCCAGGCAGGCATCAACATTTACATTGTAATTCGATAGAAGCAACTACTACAAAGGTGCTTTATCCTTCCAGCTTAATATGGTTGCTACAGAAACACTGCAGGATGAAACTGACTTTTTTGTGGTTCTGTTTCTTCTGGGAGGGAACAACGCAAATTAGCAAAGGTGTAATTTATAACCGCTGCTATGAAAGAGTAAAGTGTGGAAGTTCTGACAGGGATGTAGACCATACATATGGATTGTGGAAATAAAGGAGAGCATGGAAATCTCACCATATTTTAAGTTAATACTAAAGCTGCCAGAATTGATACAATTTCTATTATTTTAATCTTTATGGGTCACATATTTCCTGAAAATTACATTATGAGATGAGGTTGGTTGTTCCATGCTTTCACTCTCAGCAGATGCATTTCAAAATTTTATTCTTTTTTAAGACAATAGAAGCACACATGTACTTTTTAAAG